CCTGGTATGCTGCAGGGGGGTGCGCTCACTCGTGTCAACCCCCATTCCTGCCCTACCAGGCCAAGGTTAAGGGTCTGGTTAGCAATTTTATCCTCCCATTTTTGGTGGTGGGGTTCCTCAAATTTCCTACCAGACCTAAAGGGCTTGGTATGACTTTGTGGGGAACCCTACACATTTATTTATTTTTTAAACTTGGGCATCCTCCTAACTTTCCTACCAGACCTAAAGGGTCTGGTGTGGTTTGGGAAGGGGACTGCAGGCTGTTTTTTTTTTTTTTTTACTTTTACTTTGTTTACATTTTTTTTTTTTGCAATGCGGTGCCCTTGTCATATCATGCGAGCTGAATTAAAAGCACAAACAATGTTATCTTCCTTCTGTAAACCACTAATCCCCATGCAATAGAGATTAAGAGAACCAGACATGTTTAAAGTCCAGCCTGGGTGACAACCATGGCTTCCTCCATGGAGCAGTGAGCATAGTCTCCCTAGGGTAGGAAGTGTGTTCACCAGGTGAAACTATAAGAAAGAGAAAGGAGCCTAAAAAAGAGAGCTAATGCAGCCACTTCATCTAAGGACTAGTAAGCTACAAAACATTAAATCTGTGTTTTGGGGTTTAACTATGCTTTAAAGTTACATCTCCTCAGTCTTTCATAAAAAACTGCACTACAGAAAGTCTAACTTTGCAGCTTTTTTTGTGCATGTCAGTATGAACTAGACAGAATTTGGATGAAAGTTTTTCTCATGTACAAAGCTGGGGGGAGTCTTTATGCATATCATTGGAGGAGCTTTGTTTATATCACTTCACATCAAATCTTCAGATTTGATGTCGGCAATCAAACATCAAACTGGATTTTCTTTACTTTGAAGTAGCTACAAATAACATAGGGAAATAAAAATAGTAAAAGAAAAGTAAGTATCATCAGGATGCTATTGCATAAGAGCTATAAGTCAATAAATACATGCTTTTAAAATAAAACGATGAGTAAGCTGTTATAGTGCTACTGAAACATAAACTTTATTTTTAACATTAGATTGATGAGGTCTGTTTATAATCGTCATGTTTTGGTTATATCCTCAGAGGCACTCACACATATATGTACTGGTTTCTACATATTTTACGACCCCTATTAAATATCATATATTGATGTTTATATAGCTCTAACTAGCCGTCATTCGATTCTCCAAATATCAGCACTGTTAAGTCACTTTGACATTAGTACTTCATAGGAGTCTTCCATTTTAAAGAAGAACTCTGGGCAGAAGAAAACATAACCCTTGCAGTGTGGGGGTAGTAAATGTTTGTTTTGGTCAAAAAAAATCTCTCCCCTTCCGCTGGTCTAAAAACCTGTGAGTCATCATGTCCAATATAGTGCATTGGATGTGAGAAAGGTCAATGGGAGTAAGGAGGCAGGGCCGGTTTTGAGATTAAGGTGTGTTTAACTTTTATTTTCATCTCTAGACAAAAACAATCACAATCACCCACTGCAAGGGTTAAGAATAATTATGCCCAGAGTTCTCACTGGAGTTAACACCTGATTCTTGCAGGCAAAAGAAAGTGAAGGAGATCATAGGAAGAGCTTCAGGGAATTTGGCTTCATCAAACTTTCTGAAATAACATCTGTATAGCAAATGATAAGCTTGTTAGTTTCAACTCCTTCTATCTGTTAAGCAATACAGAAAGTTTTTTGTTACAGAAGTCCTACAGATTGGAGATTGCCCATACAGTGCTCCCACCTTTACACATATGGGAATTGAAGAGTTTCTAAACCCCAAAACACAAATGGAATATATTGCATATTTACAGTCTTTAGATGAGGTGGCTGCATTGGTTTTCTTTTTTTCAGGCCTTTTTCCTGGTATTTCTCCTGGCTTATGTTTACCTTTTAATTGTGCAAATAACACACTTCCGGTCCTAGGGTGGCTACACGCACTCCACTGTATATATGGAGAAAGCCATGATTGCCATCTAGGCTGGACATCAATGACTTCCTCTGTTCATTTACTTTACATGGGGTAGGATAAGTAGTTTACAGAAGGAAAATCATTTTGTGCTTTCAGTTTATCTCACACTGTATTTCTGACAAGATCAGTATATATATATATATTGTACTTGGTAAAAAAAAAAGCTATTAGCCTGAAAATAAAACAACTAATGCAGGCACCACATCTAAAGACTAGTAAGCTGCAATATATTTAAATCTTGTTCTTGAGTTTAGATGTCCTTTACGTGTTTTGCATTCTTTTAAGGAGCTTAGAAAGAATAATCAATGTCAATAGAAAAGTAGCTTTGCTTAATATAGAGCACAATTTGACCTAGTATTTACGTAAATAACAGATCATATACCAGTATAAAACACGTCAAAATAGTTATTTTAGCTATTCAAAAACACAACATTGTTAGGAAAATATTTATACACAGCAAGTGGAGAATTTTAAAAAAAAAGAAAATTTTGGTTAAGCAGCTCACTAAGCAAACATTGAGATGGTTTTACAGGGACGTTCCCTTTTTAAAAAAAATCTAAACTCACTCCTCTTATTCCTATTTAAGAGAAATGTACCTCTTGGCATGCTCCTGGTGGTTAAGTCCCTTGAGCAGATCTACTGATAACCTATTAATAGTCGCAAACAGACATACATTCTTGTGTGCTCAAACCTTTTTTTTAGAATACTTTTACAAGGTTATTCGTAAAATGGTGAAGAGTTTGGAGAAGGCAGGAGAAGTGAACAATCTAGGACAACATAGCTGAACTGGAAAGTGAGCTGAATTGGAGAATGTTTCCAATCAGCTATTTTGGCCTAGATTGTTCACTTCTGCTGCCTTCTGCCAACTCTTCTCCCTTTTGTAAACACCATCCCGGGTCTAGTGAATAGTCATAGTGGTAAGCTCATAGTGTATGACTATAATATAAAAAAAAAGGCCACACAAACCAGCAGCATTAGAAGCATTCAGAACATTTATACTACTACTACTTTATAGATCGCTGGTTCGGCCTCATCTGGAGTATGCGGTCCAGTTTTGGTCACCAATCCTCAGAAAGGATGTCCTGTAGCTGGAAAGAATCCAGAGAAGGGCAACTAAACTAATTAAGGGGATGGAGGACCAAAGCTATGAGACAAGGTTACTAAATTTAAACATGTTCACGCTTGAAGTAAGGAGATTAAGGGGAGGCATGATTTTGATGTACAAGATGTTCAATGTTGATAGCAACATCAGCAATAAACTTTTTACAGTAAACTGCATAACAAAGACTAGAGGCCACCACCTAAAATTGGTGGAGAAAAGATTTAACCACAAGGGGCGTAGGGGCTTCTTCTCAGTTAGAGCGGTTAAAGTCTAGAACTCGCTGCCACAAGCAGTGGTATCAGCTGAGAGTATTGAATCATTCAAAAAGCATTTAGACAATTTCCTCAGAGACCGTAACATACAGGGGTACAGGTACACTTAAAAACACAGGGACTCGTACACACGCATACACATGCAGAATCACATACATACACGCAATAGGTTGGACTTGATGGACCTGTGTCTTTATTCAACCTCAAATACTATGTAACTATGACATAGCAGGATGAAGTTCAAATAAATGAAATACACTAAGTTGTTTTCAGGAGTATAAACCTTTAACCATACTGTCTAAAGCAACCAAATAAAATACACTGGCTTCTACTTTCTAGCATGAAAAGATGTGATATACTTTACTAGGATTTATTTACAGTGATATTATTACCCAAGGCTTAGTTTTGATTTGATTAGTTTTCTATTATGTTTAATACATATCTGTTTGCACTGTTTTGTGGATACATTATCTTATTATAATACCTCCTTTAAAATGTAATTTTGTGGTCTGACCCACAGGGAGATTTATATGAAGGAGTTAATGTCCTCTAATATGCTCTTGTGCTGCTACTTACTGGCATTACTCATTTGCTAATTGCCCAGAGCAAGCATCAAGCTAATGACTGTCAGATTTGGTTGTGGTAAAACATGGAATTAGAAGTATTCATAGTTGAGTCCACAGTGAAGGCATAAATCATGAATCATGATCTACAGTTGGTAAACTACATTACAATATGTATTTGCTCATTTTCTAGAATAAGAATTAATTAATTAAATGCATTTATTTTATTACTTTTGTACATAGTCTTAGGACCCTCGACAGTCAACACTATACCAGAGTTGCAATACCTTACAGCACACACATTATTGTGCGGTATTTCCCACATTATCATGTGTTATGTTAAAGCAGCCCGTTTATTTTGAATGGGCTGCCAAAACAACTGCAACGGAAAACAAAATGTCCCTGCACCAGTTATGTAATGCAGCACATGCATTTCGGGTGTGCTGCAACTGCACAAAGTCAATGCATTAATGCATATTACCATGCATTACCAAAACACCGAGGTATACTTTACATACAATCTTTGAAAAATAAAGAATAACTTATGTATTCTGACTTTGAATATAAACTTTGCCAGTACAAATAAATACAGTATGTGTCATATAAACTCTCAACAGCAAAACAGTATCATAATATTAAATAACAGAATTCATGAAAAACACAATTCTGTGTTATTACTCAAAGTCCCCCAATGAGATTAAAAATAGACTTGCTCTGATTAATTTTTTCTTATACCCTACCAAGTAGTTCAAATTATTCCATGGCATGTCTGACTGCTCCAACAGTAAGCTTTATGTATGTATTGCATTAGCCTAGCCTCTTTGTTTTCATTATTTTTTTTTATATTCGTTTGTTTGCTACAGGCAGGTCTATGGGTCAATCCCTGGAGCAATACACTGGGCTTCAATATTATATAGAACTTAAATGAGGTTTCTGTAATAATCTATATTCCACTATCCAAATTTACAGAGTTCATCTAAGAGTTGTTTGCAAAATTACTAGATGCTGATATAAATATACCTTTGTTGCTGTAAAATATTAACCTCTTTGGTCTCTCCAATACTCTCACCCAAGCACATTCTCATTAACATCTGTTTCTCACCGAGTAGCAAAAGTTTCACTGTCTTGGCATCAATGGCAGCATCTTCCTGCAATTTTTTCTCAAGCTCCTTTGATCTCTTTGCTAGCTCTTTGTCTTCTGCACTTGCACCACTTCCCATCTCTCCGTCTCCACCTTCTGTATCAAGCACCCCAGTTTCCTCCAGCTCTATACTACAGGTGTTTGTGCTTCCTTGCCCTCCACTTAGTGAGAAATGCACCGAAGTTCTTTTTTTTATTTCAGGATCTTGCTCCTTTGTGCTGTTTTTATGATTTTTCCCTTTTGAAAAAACTGTGCTATAAAAAGTTCCGTGTATCAAATTTCAGATCTCCAGATCTAAAGTACTGCTATAATCCTGTTCCCTTGTTAGACTTGTAAAATGGATCCACTTTTCTCTCTGTACAAATACTTTAGAGTCCGTCTTCTATTTCTGTTCAGCTTTCTTTTTTACTGATTTAGCCCTGGAGCATTCCTAGATTTCCTTCCACTTGCTGTAGGTTTTACTGGTCTTTCAGTATCCTTCTTGCTCCTTTCTCTGCTTCCTTTTTGATTATGTTCCTGGGATGAAAGGTTTCCAATTATCACCTGACTTGAGAAATCCCATTAGAGGTCTTGAGGCTTAGTGATAAAGGGAGGGGGTGCTGATGTGTCTGGATTGAAAGTTTGAAGCAGAATTTTACTGTACTCTTTCGAATCTGTATTCTTGTGTACAAACAAGTTTGGTATTTGGGGCAAAACAATATTAAATTAATGTGTTATAAATGAATCAGATACCACAGTAATTGGGCTTCACAGTCAATGATCTATTTTAATAGCTTTACTGATGCACCGCCCTATGCTATTTTAAGTCAATCCTGGTATTCTCAGGATAAGTGTTATGTCATATGCTATATTAAGTATCATGTGCTTATGGAACAGTAATCCACACTCTATCTTTGAATAATTTCACTCATATCTAAGTCTTTTTCTCTCAGATGAACTGAAAGCTTCTTCTAGTACCAGTCTTCTGACCCTTAAAATGTGCAATACGCCCTGTGATATGATAGTTGCTATGCCATCTCCTAGGACATGTTAATTCAATGTGACAGGTACCAACTGCTTTTAATCCCACGGCTTTGCTGCCAGGATCTCCTGACACAGAAATCAGACATCTGTACTAAGCTCTTTAAAGTGGAGGATTTCAGAGTTAATCCTGAATCGCTGTCCTTCTCTTTTTTTGGCTTCTGCACAATGATTGTCAAATAATGTATTTTCCCACCCCTAAACACTGGCTGTGACTAGTTACTTAACTAAAGGCAGATCACCTTTAGGCCTCAAACCTAACTAGCCTTACTGAAGTGGTTAGATTATTTCACATCTTAAAGTGGACCTTTACCCATATCTTTAAAATAACAACAAACACACCTTTAGAAATGTTTAGTAATGACAATCTACAGACACAGACTTCTAGATAATTGCCGGCTTTGTATTCTTTGCATACCTTATTTCTCTTTTCTTTCCCAGTCTTCTGACAGTGGCCATGTTTACTAAGGGCAGATTACTAGCTCCCCTATTACTTTCTTGATTTCTGGCATGTGACTAGACATGTGACCACGCACATCATCTCAGGGGAGGAAAAAGCCTTTCCCCTGAGATCTCCTGAGATTACAGATGAGATTTCCCAGCAAAACTCTGCTGATGACAAGGCAATCCCAGTGTGCATTGCTTTGGCAAACTGAAGTCATTTGCACTTTCAAAGCAAGAAGTGAATGCTCTCCAAATGTATTTCAAAATCACAGCATTTTACACCTGACATGTCTATGTTATTATCAATCATCATACATAGAGGGATGCATTGGTAGAATTGGATTTTTGAGTGCAAAGGTCCGCTTTAAACACCCCTAAGGAATATGTTATAACTGTATATTCAGAAGCTGAACTATACAGATGTTTAGCAAAATATGCCTTCCTATGAACACTGTCATACTTTCTTAAGTATCTTTATAAGTTAAGTAATCTTTTTGTTTGCTCTTTTTTTTCTGTGGGGTGTTTCTATTTGATTTCACATGCATACAGCTGGCAACCGATGTCATAATGCACTTCAATTCCTACAAGGTAACAACTTTGTGGTCAAATATAAATAACTTGACATACATGTGTGGATTGTACCAAAGCCATATTTGTCGCCCCAGTGGTTTATAAACATGAATGTCTTTCATTCATAGGCATCTACGATATACCACCTAATTTAATCATCTCTAATAACCTGAATGGGGCAGCTTGGCCATTGAACCTTTTAATTGTTAGGTCATGTAGTTTCTCTGTACTCAGGAGAAGTAGTTAAAGCACCTTTCTGTGTTTGCACTAATAAATCAGTTTTGGTAAAAATAAGAAATTTTCTTTATTTTTCCTTAAAAAAAAAGAAAAGAGGAAAACCTCTAATAAACAGAAGCAAGATAAATTAGAAAGGTAAGTTATTGACTTTGTATACTGTCCTTGTGGCACAGCAGGTAACAGCTAGGCAGCTAGTTAAACAACTTAAACTTTTCAAGAAAGCAAAACAAAGTTGACTTTTAGTTGAAGTCATTTTTACTGAATACTCTCATTCTTCTTTGTGCCTGTCATCAGAGATAGTGGCAGGCTTTTCAAAGTTATAATCTGTCTGTGCACCACTCCTAAATTTACACTGATGTCCATCTAGGGACAAAGCAACCATCTATTACCATTATATGGCTCCACCTTCGAGTAGAATGGACACTAGACCACATTATAAAAACTGTAGGACAGCACATAGGGCCTACATAACCCCTCCCACACCAACCTTGCTTCAGTTTAGTCTTGTATGCTTGGGTGGATGGATGTCTGTTTTCAGCTCTGCTGTTCAAGACATTGTGTGGGTTTTCTACAGTCAGCTTCAATCCAGCTGCTGGTAGATTCACATCAGACCTTTCTTGTTCGGCATAGTCCCTCCAGTTAGCCATTGAAAGCAGACTTTCTCAGAATGCACGAATAATTCTCCACATTAATTCTGCAGTATTTGTTACTGCAGGGCACCCCTGGAAGGACTAATGCTGGGCTCTAGTCTGCTACATGCGTCTGGCCACGGGCTGGAATGTCACTGAAGATGTGCATTTCAAGGCCAGAGTTCCAGTAGTTCCAGCACAACTGGCCCAGTCTTTGAAAACGTCAATGTATATAGGTAAAATTGTCAACACAGAATGTATTGAACTTGAGGAAGGGCTCTATCCAATTTAAAGGTAAACTCCACTTTTGTTTTGAAAAAATATTGTATTTAAATTGCTAAACAAGTCATTTAGTTTTTCTTAATTTCTATGCAATATGGCAACCTGGAGGCGTTCTATCTCCTGTTGGGGTGTTTTGATTATTTACATTTACTTTCAACCCTTTAGTGAATGAGTAGGGGTACAAGTACCCCTTATTCATTTAAAAGGGGGGGGGGGTGGCATCTGGGTGCCCCCCTAAAGTGGTACCCTAATGCAAATAAAACACCCCTGCCCGCAGACCCCCACAACCACCAGGTCAGGGATGGGGAAGAAGGCCTTTGTCCCCATCGGCATGGTGACACCCTCCCAATGCCTAGGGCAGGTGGGCTGGTATGGCGCAAGGGTGGTCGCTTGATTGCCCCCCCCCCCATTTCTGCCCTGCCAGGCCTTTGCTTGAATCAAGGGTCTGGTAGGAATTTTAGGGGGGGGCTTATTTTTCACTATTTTGGGGGGATGGGGTTCCCTCTTAAAATGCCTACCAGACCTAAAGGGCCTTGTGTACGTTTTTTGGGGGAACCCTGTGCACTTTTTTTTATTTTTAACATGGGTGGTCCCTCCTAACATTCCTACCAGACCTAAAGGGCCTTGTGTACGTTTTTTGGGGGAACCCTGTGCACTTTTTTTTATTTTTAACATGGGTGGTCCCTCCTAACATTCCTACCAGACCTAAAGGGTCTGGTATTAATTGGGGGGCAACCCCACGCTCATTTTTGTTTCTTCTGTGGACTGTAAAAAATAAAAAAAATTAAAAAAAATATTTTGCCTAATGGCACTTTGCTGCAACGAACATTTGTTCATAACAAAACTTTGTATATACTACCGCTAACAAAATGAACGAAAATTCGGATTTCGTCCGAATCCAAATCCCTAAAGGAGTTGACTTTCGAACCAGAATCCTGAAAACCGAAATAACGAAAAATCCAAATGAAAGCGAAACAAAACAATTTTTTTTCCAGCGCACATGTCTATTTAGTTCTCTTTTTCTTTTGCACTGAATTTTTTCCTTCTATTTCCCCTTTATTTTCTTGTTTTTTTTCTTCAGTCTTCGAGACCTGCAATCAAAAGCTGAGCACGGGCGACAATAATATAGATCCTTGTAGTCTCCCTAGTTCAGCCATAGAGCGCATACAGATCCTTGCTAGGGCAGGTTCAACTGTGACAGCCCTATTCTGGATTCCTCTGCCTATGCGTAGCTGAGCTTTCTTCCCCATTCCCAGGTTTGGGGGAGTCTGTTGCCCTGGGGCCTACTTGGGTAGCGTCTCCATGGTCTACGTCATGGACATGGTTCTCAGGGGACCTCTAACTAGCATTCTTCCCCTAATCTTTTCATGGTTTCCAGGCTCCCTCTGTTCATATTTGCTGCTCTTCACACTACTTGTGAATACTGTAGCTTGGGGGATTGTTACTGTGCCCCCTTGTTTTATCTGCCCATATATTGCAGAGGTTTCAGTCTCTAGCTGGGTCTGTAACTTGCAGATTCTCGTTCGAGCATTCTTGTATTACACTTGGAATCCCTATCCTATGGACCACATACTCAGGAAGGGGCAAAGCGGTGTCATGAATGGCGTGGAGGGCTCAGGACTCTTGTCTTGTGCTACATGTCAGGCATCTTGCCGCAGGGTGAATGTAATTTATTGGTGTGATTGTACTGTATTGCTATGTAGTGTTTACAATGTACCCCGAATGTGTAACTCGTTTTTGTATATTTTATAATATAAATAAAGTATATTTTTCAATATAGAAAAAAGTGTTTCGGTAGGTCCCAGAGGAGAGGGGTCCGCCTGCCTTCGGGTAGGTGGACTTAAGTCGTACTTGCACCTGTCAGGAGCCTGGCTCCCCGGGGGGGTCAAGAAATCGT